AAAAAAAAAAAAAAAAGAATAAAGTTAACTAAGTAAAATACCCTTACATCCATAATCATTTTGCAGTTTTTACAAGGTCCAATCTGGCTAAAGAGTTGCAGAATTAAAGCTTCTGTCACATCCCTGGAAAGGTTACCGACGTATCTGAAACACAAAGAAAATCAATTTACCTTTTTTTTTTGAGATGGAAGTTTCACTCTTGATGCCCAGGCTGGAGTGCAATGGCACAATCTTGGCTCACTACAACCTCCACCTCCTGGGTTCAAGCGATTCTCCTGCCTCAGCCTTCCGAGTAGCTGGGATTACAGACATGCGTCACCATGTGGCTAATTTTGCATTTTTACTAGAGGCGGGTTTCTCCATATTGGTCAGTCTGGTCTTAAACTCCTGACCTCAGGTGATCCACCCTCCTCGGCCTCCCAAAGTGCTGGGATTATGGGCGTGAGCCGCTGCGCCCAGCCTCCTTCTTTTTTTTTAAAACTCTGTTGCCCGGGTAGAGCGCAATGGCGTGATGTTGGCTTACTGCAACCTCTGCCTCCTGGGTTCAAGCGATTCTCCTGCCTCAGCCTCTGGAGTAGCTGGGATTAAAGGCACCCACCATCATGCCCGGCTAAGTTTTGTATTTTGTGTGTTTCTTCTTAGTTCAACTTGAAATTTTTGTATTTTTAGTAAAGACGGGGTTTCACCATCTTGGCAAAGCTGGCCTCGAACTCCTGTACTCGTGATCTACCCAACTCAGCCTCCCAAAGTGCTGGGATTACAGGTGTGAGCCACCACACCCGTTCTTTTTTTTTTTTTTTTTTTTTAAGAGAAACAGTCTGGTTATATTGCTCAGGCTGCTCTCAAATTCCTGGCTTCAAGTAAACCTCCTGAGTAACAGACTACAGAAATCACCACACCCAGCCCAATTTACTTTTTTTTGAGACACAGTCTGGCTGGGTTGCTGAGACTGGAGTGTAGTGGTGCAATCTTGGCTCACTACAACCTTTGCCTCCTGGGCATAAGGGATTCTTCCGCCTCAGTTGCCCAAGTAGCTGGGATCACAGGTGTGTGCCACCACATCTGGCTAATACTTTTGTACTTTCTGTAGAGAATGGGTTTCATTATGTTGCTGAGCTGGTCTCCAACTCCTGGGCTCAAGTGATCTGCCCACCTCGGCCTCCCAAAGTGTAATGTTAAAGATTACAGGCATGAGCCGTTGTGCCCAGCCCTAGATTTACCATTTTAAATTTGCTTATTCTGCATCAGTTTCTACAACTGTTATTAAAAATTAAATTTGAGAAACAGGCAG